TAGAGAGAGAGAGGTAGAACAATTACCTTAACCAACTTTCTAAGAAAACAAAGAAATACATATGTTATTGCTGAGAAATTGACTTGAAATAATGATACTCGCATAAGTTACAGTTAGTGCTAAAAAGCTTATAAAAAGCCACAAGTATTGAAGCTTAATAAATGAGAATATACTCAATTATACATATTTTAACAAATTCAAATATTGCATATCCTAAACTGAATTATATTTTTCATTTTCTTTTTTTCTTTTTTTTTTTTTACCTTTATTGAGATTTTGAATTTGAATATTGTTTACGATGCAAATCGAAGAGATCTTTAGAGGATCATCTCTCAGATTCGTACCACAAAATGATTTTTTGTTAAAAAAAGATAGATATAGTGGGGACAATCGAATTCTGATATGAGGCCATATCTACTCAGAAATCAGCAGATTTGCTCTTATATTAGTAGCAAGGCCAGCATCGATCTGAAATACGAAATAAATATAACAAAACTAATCTAATTCTAATTGAAATGAATAAAACAGAAAGAGTAAAAAAGTACCAAACCGCGCCAGATGGCCCGGGACTCCCGTGGCTTCGAGGCCACGCCTGTATCAGGACCAGCTAGATTATGTCGTGCGTCATCTTTATCTCTCTCCAAATTTTGACAAAGTCTTGGCTTGGTTGAATGTCTTTATTAATCTAAGGATGACTTAAAAGTAGGGTTTCCTAGATCTAGGTCAAGTATCAAGTCTAAGGTTTATCAAGGGTCTAGGTTTTTGCAGGTCTCAAATTCTTAGCCTTCAATTCTCTGCATGTGTCTCAAACCCAAAAAAAAGGAGCTAAGCTCCCCAATTCTCCCCAAAATCATGCTTTTATAGCCCTAAAATCGTCTGGGATGGGCAACATGCCATAACCAGCAAATCTCCTACCCTGGACTGCAGTTTTGGTAGTCCAAGGCTTGGGCGACACCAGGAGTGTCACTCAGGCCAAAATGGTTCAGGTTCATCGAACCTGGCCAAAATTGACTTGGGAAGACTTGGCATACGGGAACTGCAATTTTGGAGCAGTTAGAGCTGGGCAACACTAAGAGCATTGCCCAGGCCAAATCTGCTCAAAACAGGCAGATTCCAATTCAGGGTTGATTTCGGGGTTGTCAAGATGCTCCCTGCAAAAAATCGACAGATTTGGGTCGGTCTTGGGCTAGGCGACACTAGGAGCATCGCCTAGATCAAATCTGCTCAAAACGGCAGATTCCAATTCAGGGCAGATCTTAAGGCTATCAGGATACTTCCTACCAAAAATCGATGGATTTGAGTCTATCTGGGCTGGGTGACACCAAGAGCGTCGCCCAATATGGGCTAGGCGACACCAGGAGCATCGCCCAGTCTGGGCTAGACGATACCTGGAGCATCGCCCAGTCCAGATCTGCCCAAATCGCAAATTTCCAATTCTTGAGGGATCTAGGGGTTCTTTTGATACTGCTTACCAAAATTTGGGTCAAAATGAGTTTTTTTGCTATTTTTAATGATTTTTTTTACTAAAACAGGGCATTATGCAGGATTTTGGATTACAAGGCCGGCAATATGGACTATAGTGGTCTATGGTTTGGGGGTTTAATAGGATAGTGTGGTATTAAGGGTTCAAAAATATCACAAAATTTGTCAATTTTAAAATGGGGTGTCTACAAATATATTTTCAATTATTTTAATTGTTAATTATTTTTTGCTTTCGGCATGTTATTAAAGCATATTGTTGTTTATACTTGAATTTTTTATTATTTAATTACTTGCATTCTACTTAAACAAAAAATATTCGCTCAAAAAAAAAAAAAAAAGCCATGTTAAACCTTAAGAAACAGCTTAATTATATATGGTTTATGTAAGGTCAATATATAGCTAAAACCTTATACGCTAAAATAACAATGTCAATTAGTTTCATATTTAATCTAATTTATATATCTATATAATTTATAATATGCTACACAGTTTGGATGCCCTGTGGTGTGCACTAAAAGTAAATACAACTTTCAGTAGAGGTTAAGAAGCTTAAATATAAAGATTCTTCAGTTTTGGAGAGAGAGAGAGAGGAGATTGTATGTGTTTTAAATACATTAAATTACATGTATTTTAAATGTATCAAAGAGAGAGAGGAGTGAGATAGAGAGAGAACTTATATTTTTTTAAAGATAAATACTCAAGAGAGAGAGTGTGTACCTCTTAAATTCATCCAAAGGAGAGAGATAGAGAGTGCGTTCGGAGCAGTTTTAGACATGGTGAATGGGGTCGGAAGACAAAACATGGCAATAATAAATGACAGAGAGAATGCATGAGCATAAAGGGAGAGGAAAGAAACAAAACAAAAAGAGTGAGTCTAAAACAAAGGGCGTTTATTAGAGAAATCCAAAGGACACGGGCCATAAAAGAAGGAGAAACATAAAAGATCGACCAAGACTTATCGAAAGAGAATATTGCAACAATCATGATTTTATTTTTAATATTATGTTTGTTATGCACTGATTTCTTATTATGATATATAGTTTTTAGATGGAAGAACTATGACCTAGGCTTTGTCTTTGAATAGGGATTTCAAAGATAGAAATTATTTTGTTAGATGTACCTTCTCTATGTGATTATCAAATATTTTTTCTTTCATTTACAAACTTTTTATTTTTATTATAGAAAAGTTTTTAAATGAAAGATCAAGTATTTGGAGTATGGATTTATTTAACTGACTCCAAAAATCAGATTTACAGTAAATTACGATTTTGGTTTGTGATAGAAATTGACAATCATGTATTTTTTAAATTTTTGTTTATCATTTACATATTTTTATCATAACATCTAGTTTTCGGATGAAAGAAAAGTTGAAGGTACATCTAGTTTTTGGTTTGGGATTTTTTTCACACAATTTTGACGTAAAAAATATATAGGGACCACTACGGCCATTGTAGGTCTATGGCAGTTTTTAGGCAAAACCGTTATGAACATAGCATATCCATAATGGGGCCAAAACACTATAGCACTTCACATATATCCGTTTTTAAGACCTT